TTGCATTATAGCCCATTGAGTAGCTTAATACTACAGTCATTAATTACTCCCAGGGTTTTTCCTGCGTTCAAATTTGCAAGGCGGCGGCCTCCAGCTAATTTTGTGCCTCCCCAGCCTGATTTCACTCTGCCCCCAGCTATATGGATGTTTTTGTAACTGCAGTTGCAGCGTTGCGCCACTACAGGGGCGCTGTATCAGCAGTGATGTATCGAAATGCGCTAAAACGCAAAAACAGAAAAAGATCAAAAATCGCTTTTCTCGCTAGAGCAGGGCTGTACTGAGACGAAAAAAACTGACTGTGCGTGTCTGTCTATTTTTAAACGTAGCACTGGTGCAACATCTTTGAATTAGTATTTTTCCCAGAACTTTATTGAATAAAAGTAAGTTACGTGTAAGAAAAATGCTTTTACTGGCCCACAGTGTGGTAATCTGGATGCAGTGGAGGAAAATAAAGGAATCAACAAAGGTACAAAGGCAAAACCGGTCCAAAGTTTGGGATCAAAAGTGCAGCTACACGCAGATTGGCTAATGCTAAAGCTAACGGGTAGCAGTCACACGATCAAGTGGCGCCAAGAAAATTATATGATGATCGTAAAACTAAGAAAGAGTAAACTCTAAAAGCTGATGAAAAGTCCCCACCATCCTGTTTATTCTGCATCCTGCAGCGCTACGGATCAGAACCGCTGCGCACAGGAGCAGGATGTACGGCAAGACGTTGTAGTATATAATAGAGCTGGGCGGATCGATCTAAAATATCGATAGTATCGGTCTAACGTTGGTATTGAGTATTTTTTACATACCTGCGTGATGGTATCGATTCAGTTTCTTCTAACAACATCCCGCATACTTAGTGTTGCGATTGGCCCATGAAATCTATATAGCACCATGATTGGACCACTACAAAATGGCAGCCATCTTGATTTGTAGTTTACCTGGCTGATATCTGTGATTGGACCGTTTCGAGCGGCAGCCATGTTTTTTTGCAGGGACATCCTGCCTACCTCGCTAAAAGAGCGCTGTGATTGGCCCAAAAAAACCATTAAAGCACTGTGATTGGAACGCCACGGATGTCAGTCAACGGGGCAGTCCGCCATTACATTAAAAAAAAAGTAAAACAGCGCTCCAGCACGAGACAAGCACAGCAGAGAGGACTGTCGTGGCTGCGTGATGGCAGGCTAAAAAAGGAGCGCCGTTTTTTTACACTGTTTTATAGATTTCAAATAGAAAGAAATCTTGAGTTTGTTAACCATTTTTAAACCATTTTGAGTTTCCTAATAAACATTTTATTTGCCCGAAAATGTTCCCTGTATTTTATTATCATCGTACACATGATTTATTAAAGGAAAACTTACAAAATAACTAAGTAATCAATAAAACTTTAGTTTTCAGACAAGATTCTTATCATCAATATGAGAATCTTGTCTGAAAAATAAAGCTTTATTGATCTTATTTATCTTAATAAATCCCACAAAACTAGACGGTACTAGGGCTAGTAGTAAAAAGTACCGGTATTGGTATCGGCAATACTGGCCCCTGTATTTATCGGATCGGATCGATACCAAATTTTGCAGTATCGTACAGCACTAGTACAGTGGGGCAAAAAAGTATTTAGTCAGCCACCGATTGTGCAAGTTCTCCCACTTAAAATGATGACAGAGGTCAGTAATTTACATCATAGGTACACTTCAACTGTGAGAGACAGAATGTGAAAAAAAAATCCATGAATTCACATGGCAGGATTTTTAAAGAATTTATTTGTAAATCTGGGTGGAAAATAAGTATTTGGTCAATAACAAAAATTCAACTCAATACTTTGTAACATAACCTTTGTTGGCAATAACAGAGGTCAAACGATTACTATAGGTCTTTACCAGGTTTGCACACACAGTAGCTGGTATTTTGGCCCATTCCTCCATGCAGATCTTCTCGAGAGCAGTGATGTTTTGGGGCTGTCGCCGAGCAACACGGACTTTCAACTCCCTCCACAGATTTTCTATGGGGTTGAGGTCTGGAGACTGGCTAGGCCACTCCAGGACTTTCAAATGTTTCTTAAGGAGCCACTCCTTTGTTGCCCGGGCGGTGTGTTTGGGATCATTGTCATGTTGGAAGACCCAGCCACGTTTCATCTTCAAAGCTCTCACTGATGGAAGGAGGTTTTGGCTCAGAATCTCACGATACATGGCCCCATTCATTCTGTCCTTAACACGGATCAGTCGTCCTGTCCCCTTAGCAGAAAAACAGCCCCAAAGCATGATGTTCCCACCCCCATGCTTCACAGAAGGTATGGTGTTCTTGGGATGCAACTCAGTATTCTTCTTCCTCCAAACACGACGAGTTGAGTTTATACCAAAAAGTTCTACTTTGGTTTCATCTGACCACATGACATTCTCCCAGTCCTCTGCTGTATCATCCATGTGCTCTCTGGCAAACTTCAGACAGGCCTGGACATGCACTGGCTTCAGCAGCGGGACAAGTCTGGCACTGCAGGATTTGATTCCCTGCCGCTGTAGTGTGTTACTGATGGTGACCTTTGTTACTGTGGTCCCAGCTCTCTGCAGGTCATTCACCAGGTCCCCCCGTGTGGTTCTGGGATTCTTGCTCACCGTTCTCATGATCATTTTGACCCCACGGGATGAGATCTTGCGTGGAGCCCCAGATCGAGGGAAATTATCAGTGGTCTTGTATGTCTTCCATTTTCTGATAATTGCTCCCACAGATGATTTTTTTCACACCAAGCTGCTTGCCTATTGTAGATTCACTCTTCCCAGTCTGGTGCAGGTCTACAATTCTTTTCCTGGTGTCCTTCGAAAGCTCTTTGGTCTTGGCCATAGTGGAGTTTGGAGTCTGACTGTTTGAGGCTGTGGACAGGTGTCCTTTATACAGATAATGAGTTCAAACAGGTGCCATTAATACAGGTAACGAGTGGAGGACAGAAAAGCTTCTTAAAGAAGACGTTACAGGTCTGTGAGAGCCAGAGATTTTCCTTGTTTGAAGTGACCAAATACTTATTTTCCACCCTGATTTACAAATAAATTCTTTAAAAATCCTGACATGTGAATTCATGGATTTTTTTTCACATGCTGTCTCTCACAGTTGAAGTGTACCTATGATGAAAATTACTGACCTCTGTCATCATTTTAAGTGGGAGAACTTGCACAATCGGTGGCTGACTAAATACTTTTTTGCCCCACTGTATACTGTATATAATTCACAAACACTTCTTAGAACATAATTTAAACTGGATTAATGCCAACCCGTACATAATAGACATGCCACCATTACATTGTTAGCTGCAGAAATGAAATGTTATTACAATTTCCAATACAAATGCATGTTAATGAAATGCATTAGATTTTACTGGATATATTTATGTGTTATTATGCCTAAGATGAGGGTTATTAATATAAACCTAAAATGTTACTGAAATCTAGGTCAAATATTTAAACATATTTTAACTATATATATCAGATGGACAAAAGGGAACTAAACACCATTCTAATGCATATTATTGAGCCTTTTATAATAAGAGTGTTATTTCAGCCTGATAACTTAGTTGTTTTATTTCTGTGATTATAGACAGTTGTACTAGATTAACTTGAAAACCACACTAAAGAAAAGCTGCAAAACTAAAAACTTTCAAAAATATTCAAAGTTCCTTAAACAAGAATGACAATAAGCATATTTAAAGTGTACAGCTCTTTATAAGAGGTAACAAAAGTCGGTGAACGTTGGTGAAAGAATGTTGGATTAATGTCAATAGCCTTGAGTAAAAAAAAAAAAAAGGTTTGACTTGTCCTATTCAGACATGAAAAATATATGAAACTGAAAAGGCGATAGCTTGCTGCTGGCATCTGCTACAACCTGCTGCCCCATTCAGAAATCGAAAACACAAGGTGGTGGTGATCCTGAGAGGCAGGACATCAGGTTGAGACATCCCAACCAAAAGCTAAGCCTCATCGGATGCCATCAGATCACAAAATACGCATCTCTGCTTCTAGCAAGCAGCAAACATCCACCCAATGCCACCACCACCACCCACCCACCCACACACACACACACACACACACACACACACACACACACACACACACACCATGCTGTAAATAAAACAGGAGGTGACACCCGCGCGGTGACTTCACTCCACCAAAAGGTGATCTTAGGCCCCCCATCTAATTTAACTCAAAGGTAAACAGATAGTTTAAGTGACAACGCATCCTGGTGCGAGCAGAACCCGCATGTATGAGGTGAGACTTTCCGGCATCACAGAAGGTAGAATCAGTTTAAAAGCCCGGAGACACCTTCTGAAGAGATTATCAGCTGGTATTTTAACAACCAGCTCGTACCAAATGCCCATCTGTCATTCACTGAACTCAACGCCCCCCTCAACAGCCACTGGGGTTCTGAGACACCGGGCCTGGTACTAGCCTGAATTAGCTCAATTACATTATAAAACCATAGATCAGGACGCCGAAGTGGATGACGCCCTTCAGCTCGACGTTGCATCCACTGACCTGTACACTTTTTAACCACAAGGGGCTGTCTTTGGTATAGCAGCTGCAGTGCTTTAACTCGGCTAACGCATCTTGCTAGTCAACAATCAGCAGTGAACAAAGCCGGTCACCGGTGAGAAGAACGATAGCTTACCGGTGATGAAGCTTTCCTGTCTCAAATAAACTTTCTCTAAATCATAATTTTACTTTCCCGCTGGGATTAATCACGATATATACATATATTTCATAAAAAAGTAAGCTAATTCAGTGAAGTGGCGTCAACTAACAAAATAAACCTGACACATTTAGCTTGGACAACCGGCTTGATTAGCTAACGTTAGCATGCTTAGCTAATTGTGCCCTCTCCCCTCCCTCCAAATTAAACCATCATTTCTACATCCATGCTCTATTATCTAGCACGAATAACACTATGCAGCGAGTGACTATTAAGAAGTACAATGTAACTCCACAGTCGCACTCAATTTGTGTGTTACCCATGTGAAAGGATACGGAGGTGGAACGGCACCAGGCTGAGGTGCAGTTGGGGCTCCAGGCGGCAGAGACACGGAGGTCAGGGTAGCCCGTAGTTGACTCGACGGAGAGGGGCCACTTCCAGGTCCGCTAACTGCGACAGCGGCGGGCTTAGGGACCACTTTCGATGGCAAACTCATCGCAAGAAAAAAAAATCAAAAAGTAAAACAATACCTTAATACTGATATAAACAAAGCTTAGCTTGCATACATAAAGCAAGCGTTGCTTGAAGCATGCCCCAAATCCCGTTACTGGAACTGGGATAACGAAGCTCGAAAAGCAATACAAACGTCTTTTTTCATGAAAAGTCGCTGTTCGGATCAGCGGTGCTATTCATGGGGACGGTGGGAGGTTTAGCCTCCCTTGTCCGTCCGGAACCTCTGCGGGTCCGTCTCGGTTCGTTCCTTTCAAATCAAATTAATGACGCGGTTCTCAACCTCCTTTTTGCGATCTATCTTTTCTTCTCGGCAATAATGTGTTCTATCATTTTTTTCTCACAGAAATGAGAGACTTCGCCAACATGGCGTTGCAGCCGCTTCTGTCCGGGCAGGACAGATGATTCGGCAATCCTCGGCTACTTACGGAATCACTCGGCTAATCAGCGAACCTTCAAATAAACAGTGCGCGCGTATCCAAAACGTGAATGGTACATGCTCCCCCATATCTCCCAGTTCTGTAAATAATATTTGAGTCCTGGATAGATCTTTGTTGCATTTAATCAATTGATGGAAATAAAACTACATGAAGTAATGCGCGCATCCTTTTCTGGTAATTTAACTGTCTTTATGGGCAAAGATAATCCTAGGACTGCCCAGCTCATTGCTTCAATAGGACTCTGATTAAAAACGTGTTATCACTGCCATCTGCCGGTACACAGGCGGTACTGTACCTGCAAACTAGCAACCCTTGTTCCTTCAGGTTTATTTTAGCTGGTTAAAATCTGACATCACTGAAAAAAATGAAGGCAAAAAAAGATTTAAGGTTGATCTTTAATATACAAATAATTTGCAACAGTTTAACATGTAAAAGGAACGTGACACAGCGGCTTAGAACCTGCATAACTTCTGAATTACACTCTCCTTTGAGATTTACACAAACGGATCAGAATTATTGCAGTGGCTCAAAGATAATGCTGAAGATTTGCCACAATTTTTGCTAATTAAACCTTGAAAGTCATTGGAAAGTCTTTATAAAAATATAACTATAAATACACTTAAAAAACCAGTTACTCCAAACATTAGAACAGTTCACAAACATATTCACACATAAGAACAAAGATTTCTGCTTATTAACCATAGAGTGAGCAAGCTGTTTTCAAAGACTGAGCTGCCCTCCTTCTGTGTCTGTATGAAGGGTTTCCAGTGTTCATAAAAACACTTTTATAACTACATTTAGGTTGAGTTGTTTTGTAAATTAGCAGTCCTTGTGGGGAAGCAGAAAGGAGTGCAATCCTCCACATGAAGCAGGCACATTGCATCCTGATAAGGAGACTCACAGGCTTTAAGTGGCAAGGCATTAAGGGTTTCAGTGGTTCTCACATTTTCGTCCAAATAGACGTTGTCAGAATATCACAGGCTTTTCACTCACGTTCACCTCTTCTCACTTAACAGCACTTCACAGAAAGGCCTCACCAAAGCTCACACTTGTGTTTAGGATTCATAGGAGAATCTGCTCCGCAGCCAAAGTGCTTTGAGAACTCTTGTGAATTGGAGATTGTGCCTATGACTCTAAATCTTGATGGACTGTGAGGATCTGTGATCACACCCTCATGGGAGCTCTCAGGTGTCCTGACAGCACACCATACCTGCAAGGGACCAAAAATAAAACATTAAATTGATTTCTCTTCGAACTGTTAAAGCAACAATCCAGATGCTTCCTCCTTTTGGGACTCATCTTTAAATTTTAGGAAGCCATAAAAGTGATTGTCTTATCCTTTATAGCAATATAATGTCGGCAATATGTAAAATGTTTTGTTACTAAGAAAGCCCTCTGTCCTTTAGAGCCACATGCAATTTGAATTGAGCGCCGCTCAGCATTAGCCAGTAATGTTTGACATCTGCTTGTGTGTGTGTGTGTGTGTCACAAGAAGTGAGCCACAGGAGAGGTGAGCAGAAGACGGCAGGATTTGGAGCCTTATTTCCTGATATTTGGACATTTTGCCTCTGATTAGCTAACAGCAACATAACTACCACTGACTCTGTTTGCTCTGCAACATAAATGTTTCATCTTAACACAAGCCTGGAGGTCTTTAGTGTAGGATTAGATGTTAATCTCGCTCACTTTAATCATACTTGAGGCACTTGGGACAGCAGTAGCTCAACAGGTTGAGCGGGTTGTCCAGTAATCGGAAGGTTGCAGGTTCGATCCCGGCTCCGGACAGAGAATTCTGCTGTTGTGTCCTTGGGCAAGACACTTAACCCACCTTGCCTGCTAATGGTGGACAGAGGAACCGGTGGCGCCTGTGCTCGGCAGCCTTGCCTCTGTCAGTGCGCCCCAGAGCAGCTGTGGCTACATCGTAGCTCATCACCATCAGTGTGTGAATGTGTGTGAATGGATGAATGATACACTGTAGTGTAAAGTGCATTGGAGTCCTTACTCTGACAGGCGCTATACAAGTGCGGGTCATTTATCATTTATCACCTATGAAACTCAGCGAGGTGGTCAGTTGAGTGATGGCATCATCTGGGCTATCAGGTGTTTCGCTGATAGGCCCACGACACCTCCAGAGGGTTCGACAGTGAATCCCAGCATCCCAGGTTAATAATAATAATAATACATTTTATTTGAAGCGCCGTTCAAAAAACTCAAGGTACAATGAAAAGAATAAAACATTCCAACAAGCACAAGGACAATAAAAACTAGTCAATTTAGAAATACTTCAAATACAGTTATAGGGAATATGCAATCTTGAACAGGCGAGTTTTGAGTTTGGCCTTTGTTGCAGGGTAGTGGTATTTCTGAGGTTCACCCCTGGATGCCATCAGCTCAACTGAGGGCCCAACTGGAGTCCTTTCTCTTCGTCCACAGCCACCGGCTCCCATTTTCAGCAGTCCTGGAGAAGTCTCTGACTGCCAGCGGGTGGGCCTTCCCTCGCACTCCCATCTCCCTTTGTAGCCTGGATGTTGAGGTGGCTACGAACCCTCTGCAGTCTACTTCTACCCGGCACACCTTCAATTTCCAGCCTTTTGTTGCACCTCAGCTGACAGCTCAGTGTACCTGAGCGAGTTCTGATGTGTTGTGGAGTTGTTAATACTCACGATTAGCATTGACTAGCCGAGAAGTGCTCTGCCCTCTCCGGGATGCTAAATCAACAACAGCCTTCTCCATCATGAGTTAAGATGGATGAACTTTACAATGTGACGTAGAATTGATTGCCTTTTCTGACCCGAGTGTCTCCCCATCTACTTTCTACCGGCGGCTAATGTAGGAAAGAGCGATCGATTCTATTTAAAAAATAACAAGTAAAAATCGGTTTGTCGTGAACTTAGTCTTTAAAACACTTCTCCAACAGACTATCCCGGGGCAGCAAATAGAAAGCAAAACGAAAGCAGAAGATAGTTTGAGAAATGCACAAACCTGTGCGAAGCCAACAAAAAACAGCTGATAGTTGGTCAATCCCAGCGCAGGCAGCGCAGCCTCCTCACCGTTCTTTTTTATCCAGTTGACATAAGCCTTCAAAGCAACAAATGATCACATTACACACAGGCAGTCCCTGTTGTCTCTCCACACTGACATGTGCATATGTTCATAAACCAAAGAGAAGAACAAGTTAGGTTTCATTAAGGAAAGCACTTCAAAGGGCTTGTGCACTGTTCCTTGCTTATCTGCTCTGTAGCTTCTGACCTTTCATTTGATGGAAAGAATGTGAGCCTGTGAGGAAGTAACCAGAGGCTGTTCCTAACCACCTGTCGCTTCTCCAAGCTTCACTCTAAACTACACAACCTACTTTTTCCAGTACAAGTTCGTTAAGATCATCAACAGCAGAAGCTGACAGAGCTGGCTAACATGAGCACTGTTTGTCTTTGTGAAACTGCTGCTTTTACATTATAACTCGTAGCATTTAAATACATATTTTCTCATTTATAAAGGATTCAATTAGACCAGGGGTGCCCAATCCTGGTCCTGGAGGGCCGGTATCCAGCAGGTTTTAGTTTTAACCCTTCTTCAACACACCTGAATTCAATCGGCAGGTGATTAACAGGCTTCTGTGGAGCCTGATGAACTGCTGCACAGGTGATTCAACCTCTGAATCAAGTGTGTTGGAGCATAAAAACAACAAAACCTGCTGGATACCGACCCTCCAGGACCAGGATTGGGCACCCCTGAATTAGACTCACAAAGTAACTGAGTAATCTATCTACTGACCTTGTATGCAGCCTTTAGCCCACCGTTATCAGCTATGTTCTCCCCCAGTGTGTGTTTCCCATTCAGAGGCTCTTTGTTGACGCTGTAATTGCCGTACTGCTCGACCATGCACTGTGTCTGTTTCTTGAAGGCCTCCACAGAGGAGTTCTTCCACCAGGGACGCAGGTTTCCATCCTTGTCATATTCCCTCCCTTTGAAAGTAGGAAATAGTGATGAATTTTCGGCCAATTGTTTTGATTTAATTAAAAATATAAAAACAAGTCACTCTCTTTTCCTCTCTCTCTGAAGACAGCTAAACTATAATAATAACAAAAGTGTGTGTTGTAGTTCAACAGGACCAACCTTGGTCATCAAAAGCATGAGTCATCTCGTGACCCATGACCACTCCGATCCCGCCAAAGTTAAGAGCTCTGTAAAAAAACAACAACACATGTAGGTAAAGTGAAGCGATTTAACGAAAGAAAACCATCATTTTATTTTAAGGTTTATATTTAGTGTAAAAGTAGGACAAAATCATAGTAAGTTATGAAGATTAGCAAGATAACTTCTAAAGCCAAAAGGCTGAGTCTGGTATTTAAGTAGATTATGCGTTTTACATAAAAACAGATTTGACTAAATCATATAGTATAACAAAATAAAAGCTGGATATAAACTGTGTTTGCGTAATCTAATTTTTAGGGATTGAGTCCAGATGTAATTTATTATTTTAATTTAAATAAAGAAGACAGTTTCCCATCAATCGTGCCGTAAGAGTAGGTTGTGGCACAACCATGTCAGCATGACCAGAAGCTAAAATCTTAATACCAACATTATTGAAGTAGAAGTCTAATTTGGTTCCATCAATACATTTATTATTAACAATAAATTCAAATTTCTGATTGTGAAGTGAAACTCATGAACTAAACGCGGCGCTGCTGACATGCACATGAGGAAGACTTTCAAATGTAGCGATCAGCAAGATTACAGAGTCCTAAAATCACCTCCATCAGAACAAGAAGATTCCTAATCAGGTAAAAAACACTCAGACAAAAGGTGTTTCTCAATGCCAAGAAACCTTGCCTTGATGTCTCGGCCCCGCCCCGGTTGCCGATAAGATGCGTCATCAAGAGGCGCCAAGACGTGTTATAATCATGCCCGGATTAACGCAAAGGCAAAGTAGGCACGTGCCTAGGGCCCGATTGGCTGGATGGGGCCCAGACAGAGGGACAAAATAAAAAAATAAATAAATCAAAAATAAAATGTACAAATGTCCTGTGATAGAATTTGTAGAGAGGACTCGTCCTCTCTACAATCTATTTCAATATTTATTAACTAAAAAGAGTGACAATGTTTATCTTAACCATAGACTGTTACATTAGCTACATCACATTAACGCCAGCCTATCACAGTAGCCTATAACTTGGGCGCCACCCAATTAAGGACGTCAGAGAAGGAAGCGGTCAGAGTGGAGCGGGATCATCGAGCGGGACACGATTAAGCTAGTAGCAGGTGTTTTAGGTTAACTTTCGCAATGCTTTCAGGTGCAGCAAAACGTAAAAAGAAAAAAAGAGAAGAGGAACAAAAGAAGAAACAGCGGGGGGCTTTAAAGAAGTTTCTGTCGGGCTGCTCGGGCAGCCGTCCGACAGCTGTGAACCCTCTGGAGTCAGCAGAGCCAGAGGCCGGGCCGGAGGAGACACGGCCCGAAGACGAGGTGGAAGATGCGGCGGGAAATGCGACGGAAGACGTTGTTGCGCCATCAACATCAACGCAGTCGCAGAAAGAACTGGAAGGACAGCAGCCAGCCAGAAGTGAGCCCAACATACAGCAGGAGCCTCCAGACCCAGAAAGGGTATTAAGAAGAAGAACCTACCCATCTGATCCTGCAAAATGGTGCGAAATTGATGACAGGATGCGTGAGTACTTTGCCCTAAACCATCCCTCCCAAAATATTGGAGATTTCTCTGCATCACAGAGGAAATACGGAGACGTAAACCGATGCTTAACTAAGGAACATTTCTTTAGAAAAAAGCTAAATGGAGAAACGCTGTCAAGAAAATGGTTAGTGTACTCACCGTCTACTGGAACTGTATTCTGTTTCTGCTGCAAGTTGTTCAGTGTAAGAGACAATCAATTTGTCACTGGATATAATGACTGGAAAAACTGTGCTAATCGCTTGCATGAACATGAGAATAGTATGGATCATCGTACTGCTGTGCTGAGTCTATCATCACTTGGAAATAAAAATGCACGCATAGATTCAAACATAGTACAGCAACAGGAGTCTGAGAGAGCATACTGGCTCAACATTTTGAAACGTATAGTGGCAACTATTCAGTTTCTTTCTTCAAGAGGACTGCCGTTCCGTGGAGATGATGAGTTAATAGGATCACCCCACAATGGGAACTTTTTGGGATGCTTGGAGTTAATTAGTCGCTTTGATCCGCTTCTGTCAGAGCATCTAGCCAGATATGGAAACAAGGGCAGGGGACATACCAGTTACCTGTCCTCTACAGTTTGTGATGAGTTTATTCAGCTGATGGCTAAGAAAGTTCTGCGTGCCATTGTAAAAGAAGTAAAAGATGGCAAGTATTTCTCCATCATTGTGGACTCAACACCTGACATCACACATGTTGATCAGCTTACTCTGATAATTCGATATGTCCTGAAGAAAAGTGGTGAGCCTGTTGAGAGATTTTTGGAGTTCATACCTCTACATGGTCATACTGCAGAACACATGGAGGAAACACTCAAATTTGAATTAAATGAACTGGACATTGATTTGATGGACTGTCGTGGGCAGAGCTACGACAATGCGAGTAACATGGCAGGGAAATATTCTGGTCTCCAAGCAAGAATAAAAAATAAAAATCCTAATGCTGACTTCATACCATGTTCTGCACATTCTCTTAATTTAGTTGGTGCATGTGCTGCAGAATGTTGCATTGAAGCTGTTTCATTTTTTGGCTTCATTCAAAATCTCTACAACTTCTTCTCAGCTTCAAGTCGGCAGTGGGAGATTTTAACAGCCCATCTGACAAAATGTGAGCAAGGTCTGACACTGAAGAGCCTTTCCAGCACAAGATGGTCTGCAAGAGCTGATGCAACAAAAGCTCTGAGATTTGGCTACAAAGCTATACAGGATGCTTTGAATGAAATCAAAGTTGACCATGGAACCCCAAGAGCTGCTCAATATGAGGCAAGTCAATTAATAACAGTGATGGAAACCCTTGAAACTGCAGTTATGACAGTGCTGTGGGATGAACTGCTGAGAAGAATCAATGTAACCAGCAAAGCATTGCAACAGGTACACATTGATGTATGTACTGTTCCTATTCTGTACAGTTCACTCATAGAATACATAGGACAGGCCAGAAATGATTTTTATGTCTATGAAGCAGAGGCCAAGACTCTCACAGCGACAGAGGGATACAAAGCAGATAGCCAAAGGAGACGAGTAAAGAAAGTTATGTTTGATGAGTCTGCAGGTCCAGAGGTGCGGCGCTCCGGCCGTGAAGCGTTCTTGATTGACACCCATTATGTCATCTGTGACTGCTTGTCACAAGAATTGAAAAAACGCAAAGATGCATACAAAAATGTGGAGGAGAAATTTGGTTTCCTTACTAAAAGGAAATCAATGAACATTGAACAAATCCGTGCAGCCACAGAAAAGTTGAAGAAAATATACCCCCAGGATCTTGAGGAGGACTTTACAGCAGAGTTTTGTCAGTTCATGTCAATGGTAAAAGATGAAGAATCAGTCATGGCCATGTACAAGAAATTTCTAGAGCTAGGCTTGAGGGATGCTTTTCCTAATGTGGACATTTGCCTTCGCATGTATCTGACATTACCGATTGCAAACTGTTCAGGAGAAAGATCATTTTCTGTGTTGAAACGAGTAAAAACACATCGGAGAGCAACAGTCACAGGAAAAAAACTGAATGCCTTTGCTCTGTTAGCAATTGAAAATTGATTCACAACTGCACTGGATTTTCAAGACATCATCGAGGACTTCACCACATCAAAACTAAGGAGAAAGCATCTGTAAATGTAAGTTTTTTTTGAATAAGTAAAGTGAATATGAAAATCAAATGTAAGATGCATACAGTATAAATTAAATGTATAATATTGGGCTATACGTTCTACTATAATTAAATGAAATATGAGAAACAAACCAAGTTTATTCATATCTGAAACAGCTGTCTTTTGTATACATTTTATTATTTCAGCACAAGATTATGATTATGCCGTCGAGACATATTTCTGCTGTTCATATGTTGCAGTAAATCACAGCTGTGGAGAATGGAGAGAAGACAAGTGGAGAATGGAGACTTAAGAGGAGCAGAGAAGATGACAGGAGGACACTGGAGAGTAGAGGAGCAGAGAAGATGACAGGAGGAGGCTGGAGAAAAGAGGAGCAGAGAAGAAGACAGGAGGACACTGGAGAGTAGAGAAGCAGAGAAGAAGACAGGAGGACACTGGAGAGTAGAGGAGCAGAGAAGAAGACAGGAGGAGACTGGAGAGTAGAGGAGCAGAGAAGATGACAGGAGGAGACTGGAGAGTAGAGGAGCAGAGAAGATGACAGGAGGAGGCTGGAGAAAAGAGGAGCAGAGAAGAAGACAGGAGGACACTGGAGAGTAGAGAAGCAGAGAAGAAGACAGGAGGACACTGGAGAGTAGAGGAGCAGAGAAGAAGACAGGAGGAGACTGGAGAGTAGAGGAGCAGAGAAGAAGACAGGAGGACACTGGAGAGTAGAGGAGCAGAGAAGAAGACTGGAGGACACTGGAGAGTAGAGGAGCAGAGAAGAAGACAGGAGGAGACTGGAGAGTAGAGGAGCAGAGAAGAAGACAGGAGGAGACTGGACAAAAGAGCGGTCAGTAATGTGAGAAAAGTGAATCTCTTTCTATTGTGTTGCTGTTGTTAGCATAAATACTAACCTATTCTTGTGTACTATAAACTCATATGTTGCAGTAAATCACAGCTGTGGAGAATGGAGAGAAGACAAGTGGAGAATGGAGAGAAGACAAGTGGAGAATGGAGACTTAAGAGGAGCAGAGAAGATGACAGGAGGACACTGGAGAGTAGAGGAGCAGAGAAGAAGACAGGAGGGGGAAACTGGGCAGAAGTGGTGAGAGTATGAGAGTAGATACTATTTTGTAAATATGTTCTGTCATGGGTGTTTTGTGTCATGGGGGTGTGGCTATGGCAATTAAAGGATATTATTTGCACACTGCAATTGACTAATTAATTAAAAACAAAGTAGTTGTAGTATTTTGCTGTTTAGTAGCAGTAATATGCAGTTACTAGCTGTCCACTGCATTTTTTGTTTTCTTGAGAACCTCCTTGAAATGACCAGGACCCCCCATTGTCCCCCAATAAAAATTGACAGCTAGCTACTGGTTAAATGTAAACAGAGCAAATAAGATAAATATATTTGCTCTGTTTACATAGTTTAATGACACCTAGTGGTTATTTACTGGTACTACTGCCTTAACATTGACACTCCCAATAGATAAGATGAGGATAATTTATTATCATTTAATACAGCTGTGTAATGAGATATAAATTATTAATAACAAAAAAAAGTCTGATAGAATATTTAACATACAACACATGACTTATTCTGGCATACAAACAACCAATTTGTAACCAAAAACTAGGCTATGTAAAATGTGAATGAACTTTTATTAGTAACTTTGGTAAGTTTCAGATTTCAGTTCATTAAATAACATCGACTGGGGGGGGGGGGGGGGGGGGGGGGGGCAAAAAATGCAGCCTGCCTAGTGTAGTTCATTTATTTAATCCGGCTCTGGTTATAATGTTCATGTTCTACTGAGGCGTGTGTTCTCTGTTTGTTAGCTGTTTAGCTAGCTGAGCAAGGATACACGGGAGTGGTCTTGTAGCCTAGCCTTGGTCAAAAATTACCCAGAATACACCGCTGTATTTTCAAAAGGATGGCGGATCAGAAGCCGGCAGCTACTTCGGGGACAATTTTCAAGTTTAAAAGTGAGTCAACTAATTTAAAATGTTTTTTAGAGCTAAAGAAGTTATCTACTTAATTTAAAAAGAAAAAAGTCTCGTTATATATTTATATTGAAACTAATACGTATAAAATATAACGTTATCTCCCGTGTCGTTATGTGACCACCATGGAAGCCGCGGTCACGTGATGCAAGTCTGTTCCATTTAACCATTTTCATTGACCAAGGAAGGACAGTGTCCTCTTAAGCAAGGCGTCTGACCTAGCAAGACATCGCCTTGCTAGGCCAGGCGCCTTGACATTGAGAAACACCCACAGAGTCAGTGGCAGCTGGTTTTCAAAACACAAGGAAAGCACGTACTTAGGATAAGACAGACTGTAAAATGGTGCTTGGAGGATTCCTGCTGGCAGAACCATCTCATTCTTGGTCGGGTTGTAATATGCATTTACAGTCGGGGGGGTCATGCTCCACCTGCAAAACAAGAAACACAAAGGTCACAATGCAACGCTGATTCAGCGTAACCTTGTGCCAGGCAGACTACAGATCACTTTGGAAGGCATGGGACAATAATCTAACCCCTCCCCCACATCCTAATTAGAGACAAGGATCTGCTCAGTGGAAAGAAGCTGGTTGCCTAGGAACGTTTTTGGATGGCAGCAGTATTCCGCAGAGTCAGTATAACGGGAATGTGTTCCCATCGAGGCCACCTCCACCGAAGGATGAGAAACAGTGGGAAGCAACTCACTGGTTTCTGTTGGGAGTTTTCCTCAGCTGGTCTGCGGTCACTCTGGCTGAAAAGTTGTAGTACTGCATGACATTCTGGAAGTACAGATCTGACACGACCTCAAACTGAAACAAGAGGAATACCACAGAAAGTTTACTGCAGGAATGTCTTGATTTAATCAATGTGATGAATACAAACGACAGTTTGTTACATACATCATTAAACACTTTGTCCAGCTTTGTGATGTTCATGATGAACTCTGGATATCCAACCATGTTGTAAATAGCATCAGCCTGTGAAGGATGAAAGGTGGAAAGTGTAAAAGAGGATTTTTGCACCAGGTGGCAGTGTAGTTGCGCTCTTCCACTTCAGTGCAAAAACTTCTTCTGCAAATACTTCCAGGGAACAAAAGCATTCAGTGTCCCTTCCAGTACCTTTTCTTTTGCTGCTTTTTTTGTTTCTGAATCCATCCAGCTCACATGCTTCAAACTATCCTCAAAGGCCCATTTAATTTCTGCAACCATCTCTTCAGCCTGAAACCCAAAACACCTCAAGTTAAGTTAAAATCCCATCATTTCAGAGTTTTAGCAGCTATCATGTTGGGACACGTACGATGGCTTTGCTGTCCTCAGCAAACGTGTCTTTGACGAACATGGCTCCGAGCGCAAAGCCCAGGGCGCTGTCTGTGTCGCTGACGCACAACTTCCAACGCGGAGTGCAGCTCTGCAGGAACAGCATAAGACGAGTCCAGGGATAAGTTGTTTCTACAAGAGGCAGCTCTGAATTTCTTTAGTAATGTAGAATGATTCTGTCCATTTTCTCACTAATAGATTATTAGACCTATATTAACTGTGACTTGCTACAATCAGAAGCTGGCAAAAACATGGGTGTGAAACTGCTGCAAAATGAAAGCAAGCAATGGACAGTAAGTGTGGTCCTTTTGGTAGTAAACTGTTGCTTTAATTAGTTTCACTTTCTTTATGGATGCTTATAAAACCTAAAAATCTTAAGACACAAACAATGGAAACATGAAAAAGAAAACCAACAGTGTTATTGTTGAACGTCAAAAAGAAAGTTTTACAATATAATTTCATTCTTTTATACTGATCAAATACTTGAACTTAAAGGTGCAATATGTAAGAACAACATCTTGTGGTCAAATATGGTTACTGCAGGCCATTTTTCTAAGCAAAAAGTTATTTTTCACTGCTGTTCTGTGAGTTTCACAGCTGTTGCCAGTTACAAATCAGCACCAGAAGAGTCTAGATGAGAAACAAAGACGACTCATACACAGTAAGTTTATAAAGGCCCTCACACACTAGCATCAGCTCCACTCCGCCTGGACTGGGTTGGGAGCTTTCGTAGCCTTGAATTTTCCTGAGCACAACTTCTGTTTAGCTTTTATCTGGAGGTCTGCCTGAAGCCGTAAACGGCCAACATGCCCACTGCTGACTGATTGGCTGGCTTAAAAGCACGTTTACCATTAGAGGGAGCCTCCGATTGGAGGACAGAATCAGCCTGTGGGGGCTTCCTGCATGCGTGATGCATTATCACGAGTTAACAAGCCTCTGACTGAAGCCATTTTTCTCTGTCCCTCACTGCTGTGAGGAGGCACACACACACACACACACACACACCGCCCACATGCTCAGAGATGCACTAATGACATCACAGACCGCCCATGTGCTCGATCACGTCCACATTCCTAAGGCAGTGTGGAACGAACGCGGCCGGGCAGGGCGGAGCCGAGCCCATGCTTGTGTGTAAGTGGCATAAGCAGATTGATTGAGAGACATTAGAATGTTTTGTGATTATTTCAATGTAGAGTTCTTACATATTGCTACTTTAAACACATATTCAGTAACCGCCACCCTATTCTTCTAAAAAGCTCATTTTACAACTGAATGAGTTTCAAATTAGTTCCTGTTTAAAAGGATGGGTAAGAAAACAAATGTACGAAAGGTAAAAATGAACAGTGAAGCAACTCTGTTGCACGCTCTCATAACACAAAAACACACCACTGATAGATTTATGTTCATGTTTATTCATTTAGCAGACGCTTTTATCCAAAGTGACTTACAATTTATAACCTACAGGGCAAGTTGTGATCTGTGGGGGAAACTGGAGTACCCGGAGGAAACCCACGCATGCATGGGGAGAACACGCAACTCCACGCAGAAAGGCCGCAGTCAAGTTTCGAACCTGCGACCTTCGTGCTGCGAGGCAACAGTGCTAACCACTGAGCCACCATGCAGCCCAGATTTCACTTGTTTTAACAGCTTGACCCCCGTAAAAACAAACAAAAACAAAAACAACAAGGCAGTTGGAATGGGATACAGTTTAGACAGCTCGCCAGAGCTTGGACAGCAAAATACAAACTACAAATAAAAAAAGCTAGTTTTATTAAGAATAACGAACACAAATAAAAGGTGACCTTGAATGAATGCATTTGTTAAAGCTTTTATAAATCATTAAACAAACAGAATAAATCCAGATTGTGCTTTACTCCATTTATCTGTTCTCGGTAAAATGAACATGCTGTTTCAAACACGGACTCAAGGTCAAGGGAAAAGGTTCCCAACTGGCTGTGATCCAGATCTGCTAGGATATTTTACCTTAAGGGTTCTCAGTCATCATCTTAATGCATTTGTTTTCCTCCACATTTATCTGCTTAATCTCACTTCTGTGCTTCTACTAAAATAGTGACAGAAAAAAGTCTAAATATGTGTTTCTTACCTTTTTGGTGCCATACATGACTTCAAGGAAGCGCTGCTCTGCATCCTGGAACTTTTGATCTAAAACGGAAACCATCTTTCTCACCACCTTCATTATCATGTAGTTGTTGAGTAGGCTGCAAACACAAAACAGCAGGGTCATGGTATAGCATCGCCTTCATCGCTCACTTATTACTGGGCCTTTTACACGTTTGCACTGTCTCTATGTAACACGCGGCTTAGAATGACTTTTACATAGAAGCAAAACAACATGCAACATGTCTGTGGGAAGGTGAAGGGGAGGCTAAAAAGTCACCTTTTATTTGTGTTCGTTATGAGGTCAGAGACTTTCTGGAGGTACTCTTTGGCATAAACAACAACAGGCTCTGACTCGTTAATGGGCACAGGTGTGAATACTTCTGTGAGATAAGGCATCCAGTCCACGGCAGGAGCCAGAGTCTGTAACGACAAAAGATAAAAGCCAACAGAAATAAATACTGGAGCTTGTTGGGTCTGAATAACACGTCTGAGGTATTCTCAAAGCCCAACGCTAACCCAGACATCCACAGATATCTCCACAATGCATCTCTCACACTGAAGTTATAATGATTTACATTACAAAACCAATGTCTGACGCTGTGAAACTCACTTTCAGGTCTTTGGCTTCTATTTTGTGGTAAATAAGCTCCTCGTCTCTCCTCTCCTCCTGAGGCACCGTGATGTTGGCAAGGGTGGTCTCAAAGTCCACGATCTGTGTCATCAGCGTCCGAGACATCTCCTCCGAGTGACCCAGAAGAACCCCCAACTCCACGAGGAAGTTGAGGTACGCTGTGAGATACTGCGACGCCCACGACAGGTGGAGGTGGTGGAGACGAGGTTTGTGTGACAGAAACTTTTCATTAACAATTTCATTCTGAAATATGCAGCCAAACATCACTATGCAGTTCTCCAGAAGCTTTTCTAATTTAAATTAGCCTTTGGATAGGTGCTGATATTCAGAATTAAGACCAAGGTTTCTATTTTTTTCATGCTGTGGTCTCTAGTGCAATGATCTGTGTGGGAAAAAGCTCTCATGCTTCTGTCTCAGGAAGTAGAAGTTAGTCAAGGAGCAGAAGCCAGCACGATTTGGAGTTTTACTCCTTATTTCCTGATATGTGGACACCTCGCCTCTGATTGGCTAACAGCAACATAACTCTACCACTGGCTCTGTTTGTTTTGCAACGTTGATGTTTTATCGCCACAAATAACACAAGTCTGGAGGAGTTCTGCCATGTTGTGGAGTTGCTAATGCTAACAGTAAGCTTCTACTATTCGAGATATTCTCTGCTGTGTCCTGGTTAGCGGGTGGTTGCTGTGGTTGGGACAATTATTACATTAACTGATGAGACCTGTAAATAAATAGTTCATCAATACGGTAGAAATAGATAGAAATAAGCTCCTCATGCTGATAAATGATAATAATCTCTCTGAGACTGAGGGCACGGTGCTAGTGCACTCTCCTACAGGACTAAATAAATGTTATGCAACATTTAGTGAACATCACTAAACATATATGTTTATATGTTTTTATTGATGTTATAAAAGCCACTGTGTAATTCTTGCTGTCAGTATATGCAAGATATTGGTATTTGGGTCTGTGCTGGTTGGGCTTAAATGAGTTAAAACAAGGTATCCAGCCTTTGGGTCATAAACTATGAGCTATAAGTATACTGGCCTTTTTATTCTAGGAATCAGGAGTTATTTTTCTGATCATCTTGTTTTTCTTTTTCTGATTTATTGTTGTCCTGATTGTGCCCTGAGCAATGTTATGACTGAATAAAAACAAATAAAAAACATTAAATGAAAAATCATCTTAAATAATCGAGATCTCCGTCACAATAATCGTGATGATCACTTTAGCCATAATGGAGCAGCACAGTTGCAGATCAGTAGTGGAGTGAATTTCTCTACGTAAAATCCCTGAAACGGAACAACAGATATTTCAGGGGTTCAGAACCTTTATAGAAGGTAATCATACATACATAATTATAATTTATACAAGGTGTGTGTCATTTATATGTGTTAATACAGATTTGAAAGAAATTTATGTAAAATAATCGTGGTAATCATGAAAATGGGATTATTTCTCAGATTATAATTGTACCATCAAAACGTATAATGGTTGCAACCCAACAGCCAAGATGGCGGAGGTGGGAACCGCCCACTGGGCTTCTATTCAGCTCTTCAGAAATCTACGGGTGACGACACGGAGGGGTGGTCCATTGTTTCGACAGTCATCGGCCGAGGCATGCTCTGCTCTCTCCTAGCCACTAAATGGACACAACTTTCGTCATCGCGAGCCAAGACGGGTGAGTCCATGAATGCTAACTTTCAGTGCGACAAAGATCTGTGTGGCTTTTTCTGACCAGAGCATTTCACCGTTTACTGACTTTCAGCGGCTAATGCAGGAAATTGAGCTAGAAGACTCTTTTCACATTCAGCCTGCATGTGAAAGTAACTTAAAAATTAACAAGTAAAAATGGTTTCTTTGGAAATTAGCTCTTTGAATGATAAACAACTTGAACATGATACCTTGTCGTTAGCTGTCTTGTTGAGGTAGTAATCCCGCGAGGGAAGACCCAGGTTGGACTGATCCACCTACAGATTACAGACACAGATGAGCTTCTGTAGTTTTCCTTCATGTTTTGTGAGCATGTAGTTTAAAATCAGATGAAGTAACGTATGCACATCTGCCAATGTGATTGTGAAACAGTAGAGAGAAAAGGCTTTTGATAATGAAGAGAGGTTCAAATCTGACCTTTCAGAAAAAAGCTAAAGACTGGGAAGTGAATCAAATAACAGGGTATCTGCAGGTTGAAGGGAGCCAAATTTAAGACTTTTCAAGACCCTTTTTAAGGCCACTTTGACCAAATTTAAGCAACTTTTTAAAATTAAATTTACACTATAATTCCCAGCTATTGCCTGGAACCGGTGCTGACCACGTCACGAACGTGGGATTAGCCATCCTGTTACCATTAAACTTGCACTTCCCCATGGAGCAAGCTCCCACTAGCTTAACCAGCTAATGTGCTCATCTAAAAATAGCCCCCATTCACAACTAACTGAATGTGTATGTTCCGCTAATGCCAATATCATACACAAAAAATGCTGAACACTAACTAGAAATTCACAAAGTTTTTATAGAAATAAAGGAATCTTTATTGGGTCTTTGGTCATTTAAGACCTTTGGAAACTGCATTTAAGGATTATTTGTCATTTTTAAGGATTTTTAAGGCCTTAAATTTGGAAAAGCTAATTTAAGACTTTTTAAGAGTTTTTAAGGATACTCTGTATAAAGAGGCTCTGAGCTATAGACACCAAGTTTAAACCATATTCCTACCTGGATGACATTACTGTTTGAGTTCTTGGAGTCTGTGCTGACAAACACAGTGAAGAAAGGAGAAGTGCGTAAGCTGGCAGAGACTTTTCGTAGAACTTCTTGGAAGTTTTCTTTATCCCATCGCTCCGTTAGAGCCCACCCTCCTATCTGCACCAGACAGGATGTAAAACAGACAATAATTAAAGAGAATCTGGAGAAATGAGGGACTGTAACTGTGAGATTACACACCTGCTGGATTAGCTGCTGCAGAGGTTTAGCACCTAATTCTTCCATTTTAGATTCATTCATGCAGGCCTGGTAATACCGCTGGGCTTTTTCCTCAGCTTTACTTAAACCTTTCATCGTTGTGTTTTCTGCTCAAAGAGAGGCACGATAAATCCACAGGAAAGGGCACAGTGCATCTCTGGCTGGGCTGAAGGTACGCCGTTACCTAATAAACGCTTCATTACAAGCATGTTGTGCTCCCAGAGGTTGCTGAAGGGGCCCCAGCGGGACTTTCCCTCCGGGAGGGGGTTGTTCTTCACCCAGCCCCCACAAGCAAAGTTGTAGAAGTCCTGGCAGGGGTCTACGGATCTGTCCAGGGCCCCTGCGACGGTGCTGCCCACAGTGATGCACGGTTCTGTTAAGCACAAACCTGGGTGTGCTGCAGAAAAACACAAAGATAAAAAAAAATAAGACATTTTTGAATTTTTACTTCCAGCTCGATCCGTCTGTGGGAAACAAGATTCTGAAAATGTTTTATGGTGAGACAAATATGCACGAGGGTTTTGAAAGCATCTGGAAACTATCGTTTCATAAGCCAAGGAATACAACCTGTAGGGAATACTTGTCCCTGGAAAAATCCTTTATTTGCAGTAAGCCAAAGCATGTCCTGTGGCAATGTCACATGTTGACCACCACCAGCTGTTTATGAGGGTGACTATAAGTCTATAATAACTAAATGAAATGATTTAAATAGGACTTTAAAGCTGCTGTCTGGAGTTTTGCCTTTTCAGGAATTATGTACAATTTTTCAGAAATCTATAAAAGTTACTGTCTTATGTAATGGGAAATAGTAGAGTAATGTGGGCTAAATAAATTGCTTTAAAAGCAATTTATTTCTATTCTGATTATTTGTGACCGATAGCTGTAATACTCTATTAATAGAATATCACCTTGCTTGGTCTTAGGATGATTAATTAGAAGGTTCTAGGATTCTTTAAATTATTAAGGGATCGTTCACACTTCATTTATGATACAAGAACCAGTCAGTGTTTGCAAACAATTAAGAATTTATTTTACAAACAATTAAGACTTGACAAATGGTTTAAACTATTATCCTGTGAGTGGATGGAACTAAAAGATGGGTGTCTGAAAACTACAGTGGGGCAAAAAAGTATTTAGTCAGCCACCGATTGTGCAAGCTCTCCCACTTAAAATGATGACAGAGGCCAGTAATTTACATCATAGGTACACTTCAACTTTTCTCTGGGAATAAAGATTTATCTAAAACAGTTCTCTTGTGAAGGGCCTTGGGGAAAGGAATGCTACTGTTCATCTTTATCATCTGATGAAGCTGCGCTCAGCTGATGAAGTCATCTGATTAAAATGCTGAGTTGTGCAGACTCACAGACTCCTGACAAGGGAAGATACAGCAGAACATGTAGCAGCTAGGGTTATTTGCTCTGGCTGCATATGACCTGTGGGATCTTTAAGATCAGTCCATTTCGTGATGTTACACTTATCATATACTACGATATAATGTAGGAAATGCGTCCTTTTTGTTGCTAAGCCCACCCGCTGTCCTGTAGAGCTTCATGCAATATGAAGTGAGCGCGGGTCAGCACTGACTGATAGCTTATGTACAGACAGCAGTCAGTGTGTGCTCAAGCATTTAAGGACATTCCTCGGCTGACACAGAGCAGGCGACCTTTCTCATGGATGAGTAGGTGGTTAAAATATAAAGATATGAACACACAACATAACGTGCCCATAATAGCTGTAATCTGCTCGAGGAGCGCGTTCATGAACAAGAGGCGCTGCTTTCTGCAGAAATGGAAGTAGGTCATGATTATTCGCTTGTGGTGGTCCCCTCAGATAAATGAAATGACCTGGACATTACATTAAAGGTCAACTTCATCAATATTATTTATACATTTGTGGTGGTCTTTAGTGGGAATGAATACATGAGTCACTCTCTGGGGTGGAAACGCTCCAGTGTGAGTGTGTCAGGGTGATTGAGGACAGAGAAGTGAGCTGGAAGAGCGAGTGGCAGAAGAGGATTTGGAGCCTTATTTCTTGATATCTGGACATCTCACCTCTGATTGGCTAACAAAAATGCAACACTACCACTGACTTTATTTGCTCTTCAACGTGGATGTTTTATCTCCACAAATAACACAAGCCTGAATGAGTTCTGCTGTGTGGTGCGTTGCTAATGCTAACAGTTAGTTTCTACTAGTCAAGATATTCTCTGCTGTTTCCTGGGGCCTCATTTATCAGCCGTACTTACGCACTGTAGGAGCTAATACACACATTATGTGCTGTTGTGTGCGAGGAAATTTGCCGAAACATCAGAAAACTTCAGACCGTGAGCAGGGACAGCATCTAGTGGTAGAGCGGAGGAACTGCAACACCCAAGCTCTCAGTCATCCACACGTGTTCCTCATCCACTAATTATTTTACCCAATAAATAATTATTCCAGCTGTGTAACATGATTGGTGTTAAAACACCTGACGGGAATCTGACATTGTAGAATGGACTTTTTGCTACTCTTCCCATTATTATGATGTTCTTATGATGTTATTATTAAGATTTGTCAGAGCTTGCTCTCTGGAGGAAACGTGTCCTCTGGGAGCGCACTGATCTGATTAGGAGATCCCTCTAGAGCTGTGCTGGGATTTGGGACCCATCGTGGAGCAACAAACTAACCGCCCGAATCCGATTCCAGTTCATTTACAACTACACGAAACCCTCCAGGAGCTCCTCTGCTCCCCGATCACACACGCATTGTCATGGTAACCAGCCTGAATGACAGCTTAGAAGAGGCACTCGCTGACAACATTTCCAAATAAAAACCAACCAGAACGACTTCTGGTTTTAAATACAGTAGTGGATTTAAAACACACGCTGGATCACTGATGCACCGTGTTTTTTACTGAATTTTAAAGAGAAAATTGCAGGTTAAATTTTTTTCTATATAAAATGCCGTCCAAAAATACTATTTGAAATGCTTATTGTGGATATTTGGTTTTAAAACAGCAGTTTTCTAGTAAAAAGTGGCCTTTTTCAGCAAAGCTTCTAAAAAGGCTCGTTTCTAAATGTGAACCTCTGACGTAACCATAGGGAGTTAGAAGCTAGGCTGCCTCAGCTCCGTGTGGAGAGTGGCTAGTTTTAGGGTAGAGGGCATGTTATCGGGTCAGTGTGTGTGTTACTAGTATTGGGTTGTGTTCATGTTGATAAACTATAGTTTGTTAAGGCTGTACCAACTCCAGCCTGTCTGGACATCAAGTCCACGGGTTTCCAGAAAAGAGAAACAACGCCTCTTTCTCCGTGCCTGAGGGGGTTTCTGCAGCTGAAAAGACGGACTTCTGTAGCCCACATCGGTTGGTACCGGGGCAGAAAGGTCTGGGCTCCGGAGACCCATGGTGGGGTTTAAAAAATGAAATGTGGATTTCTGGAGCTCAGATTACCATCAGAACCAGGTCAGAACCGACCACCAGAAGAGATGCGCGGCTCAGCGGGCCAGTTGGTTTCCGGGTCAGAATGGGATCAGAACAGCCGCCCGGATAACCAGGAGAGGATCATGTGCAGCTTTTAAAAATACCAACTGGACTGGCTCGCTGGTGTTTGGGTCGGATCCAGCTCACAGAAGCCCGCATGAGCTCCAGAACCGGAGGCTCTCCCTCTCTCTAAAGCACTAAACTAGGTGAACGGATATTAACGAGTATGAGACAGCTGCTCATTAGTATTAATATTATATTAACTGACCAATACTATTTTAATTGTCTGGTACACGATAGTAATCTGTACAATATTGTGATGTTAGCACACGAGTTTATGCTAACATGGTTAACTCACCTGCTGCCCATACCCCACCCCCCCTGCTGCTTCTCCTCCTCAATCTCTCTGCTTTGGTTGAAGGTTTCTCCCTCTGGTCTGTCTCTGCCCTCTGGGGCGTGCAGCAAACTCATTACTTTATGGTTTTGGTCCATCAGAAGTAGAGTTATAAACATTTAAAGTTTCCTCTGTGTCAGAGCCGCATTAGAATCCATATTTTTCTCTGGATTAAGCTAACAGGACTCCCTCAGATGACATCACTTGGTTTGGCAAAAACAATAGATAAATAAAACTTTCTCACAAAAAATGACTCTACAAGCCTAAATAATTTATGTATGTGTAAAAAAAACTTTTAAAACGAGTTTCTATTATGTTTCTCTAAACATTGGTTCATGGGAGTCTCTAACCTGCAATTTGCTCTTTAAAGTAACTGGATGGAAAGAAAACTGTTACTAACAAGAAAAGTTTCAGTGTTTTGAAAATTGAAAGTATTGTAACATATTATCGTCAAACAAAGATGAGTTTACACTTAGTGGTTTGTAACAAAGCCTGCCCATTTAAGGACAGCCATGGAAAAAGAGCAGTGATGAGGTTAGCATTTCCCCACAGAGATTTCATCCTTGTTCCTTCTATTATTTGAACGTGTGATCTGACAAGCGATGCTGAATGGGAGGAAGTGGCACTCGGTTTCCCACGGTAAAATCAAGGAAACAAACACTGATGAGAAGCCGCCAGGATGTCATGGTAAATCCATAAGTCCCTTTCCATAATGACCCACTCATGGAAGAGATTCAAGGTTGTTCTGAGGAAAAGCTGAAGGTGTGGTCTCGGTAAAAAATATTTGAATTGGGATTATTTTGTGTTTGTTTCATTAAGGATTGGCAGGATTTGTTGTTTTTCAGTGGATCAGAGCGTAAAAGGTTTGGGAACTTGTGAGGTAAGAGGGACACTAATGTCCATCTGACTAACAGCAAAATGTTTGAGCAGCAAGAAGTAAAAATTACGTTAGCAACACGTTTTTTACACTCAGCTCATCAGAATCAATTTATTCTGACAGGGCTGAGAGGTCATGTAGTATTTAATATGTGAAACACATAAAAACAAGATCATTCCACCAGCTTGCTTGTTTTCAGCTGTGTTGATGGGAGAGGCTAAAGACAAGAACTCACCCTGTTTGTAGAAGAGCCCAGCAGCGATGGCAGACACGAACGAGACGAGTGACAGGATGCACACCAGATACAGCAGCTTCCTCTCTCGCTGTGTCTTGTCCTGCCAGCATGTGGTACCTCTGCCTTGAAAAAAAGCCACCTACAAACACACACACACGCACGCACGCACAAACACACACACGCACACCCATTAAGTAAACCTTATCTAATCTACATCTTTATACCCTGAAAATGTATGAGGAACCTAATATTTTCCTTTACTAAACTAAACGTTTTATATCAGAGACAACCAAAACGGCACTTCAGTATTGATAATAAATAAATAAATAATAGTAACAACAATAATAATATTAATAATAATAGAGTTGTACATTTCTTAACCTTTCTTTCTTTGCTTACCATAACATTGCAAGTGCTGCCATGCTATCTTCCCAAGAAGGCAAAAAAGTCAAATGTGGGCTGGAGTCGCATTAACCAGATATTCTCTGTTTTCGATAGTTTATTTTGAAATCTCAAGGCTGTTGGTCATTCTGACAAACTGGAATTACCCTGACGTATGCAGGTGCGCAGACGATTTAAACGTTACGCACAGAGAACATCACAGAGGTAACAAGATCAATCAAGAGAAGATTCCCATCAGAACATCTGAGCATTATCTCAGACCTGGACACCAGGACCAGTGCAGCGCGCTGAGGAGCTGTGAGAGCAGCTCGGAGCGTCTGCGGGTCACGGCCAGCAGCAGCTGACTTATTGATTATCCCTAATAACACACTCTGCACACTAAGTCCCCAGGGTCATATTTGAATACTTCTGATGTAAAAATGTCACACACACACACACACACACACACACACACACACGCACACACACACACACACACACACACACACACACACGCGCACACGCGCGCACACACGCGCACACGCGCACACACGCACACACGCACACACACACACAGCTCTACCAATTTAATTCTAGTCATAGAAATTATTCACTAATTACAGACGCTGAAGATATAATTTCCCAACGTCTGTATGTGAATAAAAGTAGAGAAACGGTTACGTGTCTATGACTTATTATAAAACTTTATCACAATAGTTGACACTGAAGACAAAAGTAAAATTAAAGGAGTGGAAGACTCCTTTAATTTGCTGTCGTTTCTGTTAGGAAAGACTGCCTTGTAAGTTAATCTCAGAGGGAAAAAACACACTGTGGCACCATTTCTCTGACTCAAAGTTGCCAACTTCACAGCTGAGCTTCAGGCAGAATGTTTTGGAGTCCTATTTCCTGATATTTGGAAATCTCTGAATTGGATAACAGCAAAGCGACTCTACTACTGACTTGCAGCGTGGATGCTTTATCTCCACCAATAACACACTGGAGGAGTTCTGTCGTGTGGTGAAGCTGCTAATGCTAACAGTTAGCTTCTAGCTGCTGAGACATTCTCTGTTGTTTCCTGGACACTGAACCAACAACAGCCTTCCTGTTGCGAGTCCAGATGGGTGAGACCATGAATGTTAAGTGACAGTGTGACATAGATCTGTCAGGATTTTCTAATCCTAGAGTTTCACCGTCTGTTTTCTATCAGAAGCTAATGCAGGAGGTAGGTGTAGGAGACTATCCTCATGCTCGGCCTGCATGTTGTAACTCAAAATGACTGATTACAATCAGAAAAGTTTTTTAGTGTTTCACACCTTTAATACATTTATAGAAGCCAAAGAGTCAGAGCATAAACTGGGTCATTTACGTAAAAGGTTTTATAATATGAATGCTTTAAGCAACATTTACAAAATTAATCAATTTAGGCCATAAAAATGTCATTATCCTCACATTTTTATCTCTCATTCGATCTAACATTAACAGCTAAAACTCTTTTTACATCAAAGGTGCCAAAAATAATCTAAAAGACGTTTGGTCCGGTTTAAAACAACAAGATGTGTCACTTTCAGACCTCGCTGAAGTTTGCTGTAATCGTTGTGCTTTAGGTGCCTGACACAACATCCTCCTGGCTGAGCTCTTACCTGCATCGACGAGGGGTAGACATCGTCACCCATGGAGTCCACCAGATCCTCCTCGTCCAGCGTGGCTCTCTTATATGTGGACATCTGAAAAATCAGATGAAGAACAGATTGTCTCAATGCTTCCATGTTTCTTCAAGCCCTATCCATTCCCAGTAGGATGTCTGGAGAATGGTGTTTACTCTTCAGCAGTCGCTGAGGCTTCACAACTGCTTGGCCCTTTAAATTCCATCGGTTAAAAAAGAGAATCGGGTTGTTCTGGTTAGAGCAAGGTTTGCTTTGAAGGGGGAAAAATGTCAGTCTTCTTCTTTGAATGCACTTTTCTGCTCCCCCCGACCCCTCTGACAGCCCCCATGGCTTTAGGCAGACACACGCAGCAGAAATGTCCACCTGAAGAGATGTAGTAAGAACTCCTTGTGGGTTCTCTCTCTCTCTCTCTCTCTCTCTCTCTTTGATCTTTCTAGCCGAGTCAATGCAAACACGGAACAAGAGAACACGGAACTAGTGAAAAACAGGAAGGAGCTCTGACTAGAACGATTTACATGGCTGAGTGAGTGTGTGTGCATGCGCGTGTGTGTGTCTTTGTGCAACCACATTCCTCAATGTGGTTTCACTCAGATTTGGGGAGGGTGTCTCTCACTTCACACCCACTGTTCTTTCTATAGGACACAAAACACAAAGGGGCGGAGCCCAAGAGAGAAGCTCCTCCTCCAGATACACGTTGTGATTGTTTCCTGTTGCACAATCGGCAAGCCAGCCAGTTCCTCTCTGGTTTAGCCCCTACAGTAGTGACACATGCAAACACTGATGCTGTGTCAGGTTTCTAGAGATGAAAAGCAAAACGTGTCAGAGAAGGGAAAAGAGAGGTAGAGCTCCTTTATGACTCAGACTTGTGTAATAGGAAGTAAAACATACGCAAAAGAAGCTATTTTTCCTGTTAACTGATTTAAACAGTGATGCACCAGTTTAGAGTATTCAAGGCTGATACCAGGGTCTGCAACCTTTACAATTCCAAAGAGCAGTTTTTCCCCACCGTCCACTGGAATAAAACTTGTTTAGAGCTGCAACTGCTATAGGATCTTTAAAAAAGACAGCTTTTACATTTAGAAAAATAACTATGGAAGAGGGGCTGCGCAGTGGCACAGTGATTAGAGCTGTTGCCTTGCAGCGAGAAGGTCCTCCTGGGTTTGATTCCCGGCCTGGGATCTTTCTGCATGGAGTTTGCATGTTCTCCCTGTGCATGCGTGGGCTCTCTCCGGGTACTCCGGCTTCCTCCCACAGTCCAAAAACATGACTGTTAGGTTAATTGGTCTGTCTGAATTGTCCTTAGGTGTGAGTGTGTGTGCATGATTGTTTGTCCTGTGTGTCTCTGTGTTGCCCCGCGATGGACTGGCTCTCTGTCCAGGGTGCACCCCGGCACCAGCCCCCCCACCCCCCCCCCCCCCCGCGCGAACAAAGCGGGTTCAGAAGATTGATAGATGGAACTATGGAAGAGGGATAGGGCCAATGAAAAACATTGTCTCTTATATTTAGGATTCAGATTTTTTCTGAGATTAAAGTCAGAAATCTTTTTTTTATTTTTGTTTCCGTTGTTAGGTAAAAAAAAATACTAATAGGACTTTTGCAAGAGGAGACTATAAATTTTTCTGGATGTTTATATGTGTGGAAGATTATGTAAAAAACATACACAGATCTAAAACTAGTGATTCTGTTATGGAAATTCGATGCAATTATTACATGAAGAGCCATTGTGGAAGGTCCAGAGAGCCTCAGGCTGCAGACGCCAGCTCTACCGACCCACTCTGATTTCACTGCTGTTATTTTTATTAACTTGAAGGTTTTGTTTCTGAAGGAAAACCATGAAAAGAAACAGGTTAGTCAGAGTGAAAGATGCTATACTATAAAACCAAACATAATTCAGTGAGGTCTGCAGTATATCATTCTTAATACTTCCTTAATAATCTGATAAAGACAATACACAATCCACCTTTAAAGCTGATAACAATTCCTGTGTTATGACAGAACTTCCTGTCACTTAATAGTTTATAAACAAATCCTTTATCATTGCGATGGATTGTTATAACTGACATAACTCGTGTTCTGGAATAAATATATGCCGCTTAAATAACTTGTTTAATATAAACCAATATGCCTGATGACACACATCATTAGTATAACCCCGTTATATCAACACAGATTAGAAATCATTGCAATCACAAGGAGCCATTCCCAAATCCTTCCTTTGTTTTATAAACCACATAAACATCTGACAGATATACTTAAAAATTCCAGTTAGCTCTTGTTTATTTTAAAAACAGAAAATGCTAATTTATTCCAGAGAGGCGGGAACTGCTGTCGGTCTTATCTTAAAACTTCAACAACAATAAAAGGTCAAATTCTTCAAGATTTCTTTGGAAACCCTGATTGTGGTCAGCGGAAACACACGTTCATCTCGTGAAAAAGAAAGAACTAAAGAGTGATGAAAGACGAAGAGAGATAAGGAAGATGGAGGGGGGGTATATTTTTGTAAAACGTTCAGACCTAAATGGTTTAATATTACGGGTTTAATGAGGACACAGATGTTTTTTTATCCACACACCCATATTTGTCTCATCTGTATTGAGTCTACAGTTTATTGATGGATCACTGCTGTTCTATTAACCCAAACAAAAAAGAGCTCACTGAATAACTCAAACTAATTCCTGTAAACCAACACAGTCATGCCGGGAATATATTATTTTATTTTGAGATTATTGCCAGATAACTCTGCAAACTAACAAACCGCCGTTGCACACACCGTACTGTTGTCATAAACACATTCCTAAGAACATATTCACTGTTTCTGAACACTTTCCTGGCATTGAAGTTGGTGTAGAAGAGCCTGAACATGTTGCCACTGAGACCTCTAGGCTCAAACACTGCTTTGTAAAAACACGCTGTTTCCTTCCTTCTTCGTGTTATCTGATGACGAACATCAGCCATGTATAACAGAATACCCCTGTGAGCTTTTATATTTAGATCATTTCTAATATTCATTGCTTGGATGAAAATCCTATTCAAGGGGTCCTAGAAAAACCTTTTCCTTTGAGTAAAAATGTGTTGGCAATCACAATGACCCAGGAGCCCTGATAACTGACCAAACACAACCCCATAATAAAGCCCTACAATTGTAAGATTGATTTGTCATTTGTTAGTTTTGGCAGTAGTTCGCGGGACATGCTAATTTAAGGGGTGCACAGGGTTTCCCCCAGCACTTTATAAGCCTGGCGGCCCACCAGACTTTGCTTGCCCACCCGCCAGGCTAAGCGTCATGCCCCGCCCCCCTCCCCGACCCTACCGTGTCCGCTGACACGAACGTCGCAACGAAACTAGAGCCCTCCATCAGCTGATACTGGTGAGAAACAGCAGCGGAACGTGTGCAACCACCCCCACCCCCACCCCCGCTCTCACAGAGGAGCGCTGCGGGACGGAGCACCCCCCCCCCATACCCCCCCACCCCTCCACCCCCCCGAAAGCAGGTCTGAGACATCACAGACTTTTAGGTACATTTGACACCCCAAGTTGCCTAAATTCAACAACAAAATGCAGTTTTGAATTCTAGGACCCCTCCTTGCAGGCATTAACAAAGGAGTTATAGAGAACCATCAAATGACATCTGTAAAAACTAATACCCTATAAGAATACGAGGAGAAAAAAAGTCTCAAAAGATCTGTGTGTTCCTGCTCGTATGTATACGTATTATATATGTAATATATGCATTTATGAGAAAATAAAAAGGTTGCTGACTGAACAATCAAGAAACTAATATTTTGAAAGCATAAAACATTTTCTTTGTGTTAAATCTTAACCTACTTTATTTGATATAACAGAATCATGAATCTGGTAAATAAACTAACTTTAATATATTTTATCTTTACGGTAAAGCAGACTTCAACCTTGCCACCATGCCTCTTGTGAAGACAAGTCACTTTTGGTTTTAGGTGCCTACCTCCACCTGACTGTGGCATTTGTATTAACAGGTTACAAAGTTAATTAAAAGTTGTTTGATAAGCTTTCATCTTTTCTTCACTATTAGATGACACATAGCTGATCACACTTCAGACTAGAAGCTAATGATGGTATATTAGAGCATCCTGGTGCAATGAGCTAAACTTTTATAAATGACACAATTAGTCAACTAATTGTCCACCAAACCGGTGATTAGTTGACTACTAAAATAGTCGTTTGTGGCAGCCCTAAAAATGTTGCAGCAAGAAGAGGTGGAGAAAAAATTAAAATACCAAAAATAAAATGGCCAGGGGTGCACGTAAAATATGTTTTCTACAATTTAAAAAATATATATTTTTCAATAACTATCGATATTGATCAATATATTTTTCTATATCGTCCAGCCCTAACACACACACACACACACACACACACACACACACACACACACACACACATAGACAAGGGATTGAAGCAAAAAATTCTCATCTGACTGAAAATTATTGGGGGGGCTCACATTATTTACACACAGCCACTATTTGGGCTATTTGGGTTTTGATTGGTTTTAAGGTCAGTATTCTTGTTTATGAAAAATTTGGAATAACATGTTCACATACACAGTGTTTAAAAGTGTGGGTGTTGAGATTTCTCTGAGGTAAAAAAGATAAGTATTAGAGTACTCTAGCCCCCCCCCCCGGAAAAAATTATCGGACATTTTATATTTAAACGCATCAGTCTGGTGCATTTTTGGGGGGAGTTACAGGCTGGTAGGTATGTATGATAAAGTATCTATACATGTTCATTATAATGATATATTTGAGTTAATGTTTTCCTGTCCTTTCTTAATCCATTATGAACACAGACTACAGTGAAATCCACTGATGCATCCATGCTGCTCAGTACCAGAACTGCACTAGATACCAAAAGAACCAATCAGCTGGCAGAGCTCCATGTTGAACGTGTGAGCTGCAGAACTTGCAAAACTACGTGACTCAATTTAAGGAACAAAGTAGAATCCAGCTGCTGTTGTTTATTTGTTGTTGGTGTTTATAGAAACTAAATATATCTGCAGGGCTTTAGGCCCAGGACAGAGTTTTATACTTCAGACCAGCTTTAGATCATGACCTGTTATTAATAATATCATGTTCTTTACACCAATCTGAATATTCTGTAATGTTCACAGACATCCAAACCTTAGAAATGAAATATAATCAATATTAAAATAAAAAACATTAATATAATTGTTTCATTAAGATTAGTTATCTGTTATACTTATTTACATTTGATAGTAATATGATTAATAATATTTAATCTGATCTTCTATCATTTGTGGGTTTAGTGCATTCACTTAATATTAATTATAAAATTACAAATAACAGGTCACTAGTCTGGGCATAGAAAGTGTTTCTAGGACCTAACGCTTGTTCAGCAGTTCACCTGTTCCACTGACAGGAGAAATCTTCTCATCAGCAGGTGATCAGCAGAGTGTCATGACTGAACACGGCCCGAAAAAAATAAAGAGACGACTAAAAACACCGACCTCAGATCAGCCCACCGGGAATTTGGGTCCTGGTTCCGCTCATCACGTTAACTCTCATTGTGATATCAGAGCTTTATTGGCTCTGTTAGAATCCCAGCGCCTGGTGCGTGCGTTGTTTGTGTTTGTGCGCACCGTGGGAGCGAGCAATGAGCGCATGCGTTTTTTCAGCTTGGGCTATGGAAAGTCAAAACCAGCGAAATACGCCACTTTCCCAACCCGTCTAGTTAAGAGATGGCGAAAAAATGCCATTTGATGTGTCAAGACGCTGTAAAATACGGCGATAACTCTCCCAGAACGTCGTATTTGACGCCAGCCAGAGCCGTTCTTAACGGTCCCGTAGAACGCCGGAAAAAACAGCGTTTTTTTCGGACATTAAACGCCGTTTTTTACGTCACCCTAATCCCAGACGCGTTCCCTGTGTGGGTGGCGTAAAAAACGGCGTTTTGTACGGACATTGAATGCTGCTTTTTTCGCCGCTCTGTGACATAAAACGCTGTTTTTAACGCCACTTTGTGACAGTTTCACGCGTTTAAAATTCAACTTTACTCTCATTTATGCAGAGCCCTCCCCATGGGTTTCTCATCCACTTAATTTAAACTCCAGTGACCCAATGAAAGAAGAGGAGACTGAGGCGGCACTAATTCATCACAGATTCGCCGGGCTGCAGAGGTTGCTGCAGACTACTGTTTTCTAATACAACTCTGCTCTATTTCAACTAATTTCACTGTATAGATAAAGCCTTGAAATGTAGTAATATTATCAACAATGTGTCAATATGCACCAGACAAGGAAGCGCATCTCAGGCCAGTTTATGTGTGTGCACAATAACAGTGGGGCAGTTTACATGTTATTGTG